CTGCAAGGTCAAGGCCAGCTGGGCAACTTAGTAAGGTTCTGTTCTCCAAATAAAAATGTAAAAAGAGCTAGAGGTGTAGCTCAATGGAAAAGAGTCCATGTGTTCCAATCCCCAGTACAAAAAAACACAAACTAGGGGGGAAAAAAAAAAAATCAATATACAAGGTTACGTTTTACAACAGTTTTCCAGAGAAAGAAAAATAACACCAAAACAACTTTAACAATTTGTTTTCTTGAGAAAAACCTTAAACTGACAAATTGCAAATGTCCATCCATACACATTTGGGGAAGGGGGGGGTACTGGGGAATTGAACCCAGGAGAGCTTAACCACTGAGCTACATCCCCAGCCCTTTTTTATATTTTATTTAGACACAGGATCTCACTAAGTTGCTTAGGGCCTAGCTAGGTTGCCAAGGCTGGCTTTGAATTCACCAGCCTCCTGCCTCCGATTCCCAAACCACCAGGAATAACAGGCATGCACTATCACACCTGGCCCATATACACAATTCTTAATACAGATACCAGAAAAAATCAGAAAGAATATTCTAAAATGTAATAAGCCCAGGGATTGCCAATTTTTGTTAAAATGAGTATAGCGTTTATGATGGAAAAAACCTTCAGATATGTTTAATACTATTCACATGTAGATATTTCTACAGTTACATCTGGCACTCTAACATGGATACATTGCATATGACATAGTACTCAGATTTCTAGCAAAGGGCCAAAAATACAATTGGCATCAATATGGAAAATACCTCAAATACTAATTTTCAACAAGTTGTAAAAGAAGGAAATTAAATCAAATCCAACAAATATTTTCATAGACAATCTGACAGAAAAAAAAATTCAATTCCAAGATATTTTCTATATTTTAGAGATGTCAAAATCTTGGAAGTGTGACCAATCTTGCTCAGAAGTGATCAAGATTACAATTTTCATGATTCCATTTCAGCCTACTCCTCCATAAGAGTTTAGCCCACAAATCAGTGATTCTCAACAGAAAATATTAGTGCACAATACAGGTAACCCCAAAACTTCAGAGCACCAGAAGGCATCACTGATTGAAAGGTGCTCATGCTACTGAGCAACCAAACACTTGAGCATAAAAATTCCAGTTTCAACACGTACCTACTATATAAGCTTGATTCTTCTGTGTTTGCATGTATACATGTACCCACATGTATATGGGTGTTTGGTGGAAATCAAACTTATGGCTTTGTGCTTGCTTGACAATCATTCTACCACTGAGCCACACCACCAAGCCCTTTGTGCTTGCTTGACAATCATTCTACCACTGAGCCACACCACCAAGCCTTTTTCTTCTGTTATTTTCTTGTGGAGCTGGGGAGTGTACCTTACAGGTTAAGTAAGCAAGCATTCTACTATTGAGTTACACCACAGAGCTTATTATTTTGAAACACAGTCTCATTATGCAGTCCAGGTTAGTCTTGAACTTTGGATCTTCCTGCCTCAGCTCCTGAATAACTGGGATTACAGGCATGCACCACCATGCCTGGTTTAATTCTTTTTCCCTATACCTTTAACACCCCTCACATCTCAACTCCTTCACATTTTCATTAGCAGGAGCACTAGATGAATTAAATATAACAAAGATTACTGAAAAGGGCTGGGGATGTGGCTCAAGCGGTAGCGCACTCGCCTGGCATGCGCGCGGCCCGGGTTCGATCCTCAGCACCACATACAAACGAAAGATGTTGTGTCCGCCAAAAACTAAAAATAAATAAATAAATAAATATTTTAAAAAATTCTCTCTCTCTCTCCCTCTCTGTCTCTCTCTCACTCTCTCTTTAAAAAAAAAAAGATTACTGAAAAACTGTTGTTTAAGAAGCGAAACAAAATTGGGGGTGTGTCAGTGGTAGAGAGCTTTGAGCTGGATTAGATCCCCAGCACAGTCAAAAAAAAAGTGAAAACAAAGTGCTAACTATGAAGTTATAGATCCAATAATAATAATAAATAATAATAATAAAAGTTATAGTTCATTGGAACTATGAAGTTATAGATCCAATGACAATACGGTTTCATGTAAAAATTTTATCTGATACAACTTTAAGAAACACATAGAATAACTTTTTAAAATCAAATATTGCCATCAATGCAAGTACAAAGATGAAGAAATTTAATGTTAGAAAAAAAAGAAAAAAAAAAAACCTTGAATTCAGATTCTCTTCTCACGAATTGTCTGGTAATGAACTAAGGTATTTCTACCCTTAACCACTAAAAAACTATTGTACTGACTACCTCAGTGTTATCCTGACAGCCAAAGAAAAGTAGTTTGCTTTACTGGGTCAAGTCCAAGTAGTCTATAAAGTGCAAGATAGAGAAAGCTAAGAAAGCAATGAATCTAGAAATTCAAAAGAGTGACAGGATCCTTACAGGTCTGTTTGTTCAAACCTCGGTTTCTAAAAAGCCTTTTCACTGGTTAATAAATATCTGATACATAGCAGGCACTGTTCTAGGCATTAGGACATAGCTATGAACAAAACACATAAAATTCTTGATACTCAGAGGAAGCTTAAATTTTAGAGGAGATACAAATAATAACCAAAATTACCAAATGTACCAGAAAGCGACTGTTAAGAATATAATTAAAACTGGGAGGGGCTGGGATTGTGGCTCAGTGGTAGAGTGCTTGCCTAGAATGCACAAGGCACTGGGTTCAATCCTCACCACCACATAAATGTAAAATAAAGATATTGTGCCCACCTAAACTTAAGAATATTAAAAAAAAAAAACTGGGAGCAAGGAGTATAGGACAGGGATGAAATTTTAGATAAAGCAGTCAAGAGGATCTCACTGAGAAGGCACCATTTGAGAAGATTCAAAGGAGGCAACATAGCAAATCTTGTAACGAGACAGAGATTCATCTGTTAAAAGGAAAGTAAGCCTGGAACAGTGGTGTACGCCTATACTACCAGCAATTCAGGAGGCTAAGGTAGGACAATTGAAAGTTGAAGATCAGCTTCAGCAACCTAGAGAAACCCTATTTCAAAATAAAAAGAGCTGGGGATATGGCTCAGTAGTAAAGCACTTTAGCCTTGGGGTTGGGGGAGAGGTGGCCAGAGGGGAATGATTCCAAACAATAACAAAAGAAAATCGATGTATTAAGTAAGTCGTGCTGCCATATTCTCTCAGTACAATGTTGTCTATCCAGTGGGAAGGGCAGATTACAGTGAGTGCTGAAGTGAGCTCCCTGAAAACACTTGGCACTAACAACAGACATTCCAGAGTCAACTGAATTTAAATTCTCATCTCTGACTTTACCATCCTAGCTCCCAGAATCCACTTTTGCTGATGTCAGGTTTGCACTGCCATCCCCCCATCCCCCACAATCCTCTCACCACATAAAGATGACTGGTGAGAAACATACACAACAACTAGTAAGAAATGCCCATTCAGTACTGATGCTTAGTTTATTTTTGCTTTCTCTACAATTCAACTTTCCTCATTCCATTTTATCAGCTACAAAGTTGGTCTGAGGATGGAATTGTTTTTTCCAATTTTAAACAAGAAAGTCTTATAATCTACACTCAGTATACAATTTGATGCTTAGTATACATACTTTGAAAATTGCTTTTTAAGGCTTCAATAAACCATAATATCAAGCGGTTCTCAACCTGAGATTTACTTAATTAAAAAACTATTAACCTAATTCCGAAAAGATTCTATGACACCGAAATGTTAAGAATCACTAAAAATGAAGTTTAGCTCATTTCTATCTGTAAACCTATGTGTATTTTACCACCACCATGTAGTAAAAGGATGCATAGTATGCTAAAGCCTGAAAATATTATTTTGAGAGTATTCCAAACCATTCAAGTAATTAAAGGTCATATAATATAAAATTCCATTTATATGAAATATCCATGATAAGTAAACTCAGAGACAGAAAGTAGACTGGCAGTTAGGGAATGGGAATTTAACTGCTTAATTGGTACAGGATTCCCTTTTGGGGTGATGAAAATGTTTTGAACTAAACAGAGGTAGTGGTTGCATACCACTATAAATATGAACAAAACTGAATTATTCACTTTCACAATGGTGTGGTTTGTTATATGAATCTGATCTCAATAAAATCTGACAGTAAATAAATCCCTTTTGTATCTCCTAGTTTCTAAAAATTTATATATATATATATATATATATATATATGTAATCTCAAATATCCAATCTACTCAAGATATGTGTGTATGTTTGTTACCTTTTATAGTGAACTACAGAAATAATCCTTGAAACTATGGTATAGTACAGAAAAGTATAATCTTAGCTTTTGTATTATATCACAAATAATAAACTCTCACAAATAACTATGTCAATAACTGGATGAAAACCCTGCTCTCATGTCTTTGTCCTTTACCAACTATGATCCAGTGTCTGGGTCGAAAATTTCAAATTTCCTTACAAAAACATTAAAAAACACAATATACACAAATCATGATTTGAACTATAGGATCAGCTGGCTACATGACATCTGTTCCGTGAAGTTTGCAAATGTTTACTACATGGCATTCATGTTAAATTAACATCAGCACTTTCAAGGTCAATATTATGTTTGTTCAACTTCTTGGAGTCACACATTTTTATGATATTTTTAACATCTGACTAAAGCCTCTCATCACAAGATGCTCACACTGTTTACAAACACTGAGAAATAGCAGCTGGTGTTTCTTAGTCACATCTTGTTACAATAAATAGAGAAGCAGTTTCAAACTCCAGGTATATTTTTCTAACAATGTGTAAAAAGTTTGCTTTAACCTGAAACTTCTCCCCTAATGATAGACACATGTACACAATTAAATGTATGCAATTTAGCACCAAATTGACAAGATCACAAATATAAATTCTTGTGTATGAATACTTTTGAGTACAACTATCATACGGAATGAGCTCAATATTACTATTAACCCTGCTTCTATTTCATGTAATTTTTAATACTTTTTCCCATCTCAATTTTAAAAATGCAGAAAAGAGAAACTTACCCACACAAGCATTGAGGAATAGCCAATCAGTCTTTTTCATCCTGTTTTTAATTTGCTTTAGTTTTTTGAAGTCCACTTCAAGTTCCTCCTTGCTGCCAACAGCACCAGCCAATTCAATCCTTTGAAAATCCATTTTAACTTCAGAGTCTCGTTTTGTAGTAGGAGGTGATCTTCTTTGGCTATTACCACCACTACTGCAGCTTCCCCTCCAACGAGCTCTATCTTGCTCATTTATTATTGAAGAAGCCTCTTCAGTCTCTGCCAACTCTATTGCTTCAATATTATTAGGTCTGGGATGATCACAAACAACACATTTTTTAGCCTTGGCCCAGTTTTCATATGTGCAAATAGAACAAGTCCAATGCTGGGTCCTTGTGTTCAGTTTATTTCTATCATTGTATTCCTCACAAGAATCAACAGAAAAAGCAACTGGTCTTGAGCCAGATCCTGAGGATTGAGGAGATTCTGTGGGACTCCTGGTCCTACGCTGGGATAAGCACTGGGTACATCTGATTGCTCTTGGCCAGTTCAAGTATGTGCACATGTGGCATGACCATTTATTTGCATTTTCCATACTGTATGAAGACTTAACCCTTGGTCTTGCACTAGAGTCTGGACATATCAAAGGACTACTTCCTCCTTCAGTGCTGGAAGGATCCCAATCTCTACCAACATCACTTGAACCACTTTTAAACGGATCTTCTGTAATAATTGTTCCACTAGGTCTTTGGGCACGACACATAGTGCATTTGATTGCAGATGGCCAGTTTTCATACGTACAATATTCGCAAGCCCACTTAATTCCACGTTCTGACATTGTGCACTTCTTGAAGTGAGTTATGTCAAGCAGGAAGCTATAAATAATTAGGACATGGTTATTAAAAAAATACTAATTCCACCTCTTAAAATCTGCCCCCAAAATAAATGTATCCTTCAACTTATAAAATATACATTTCTCAAAAGAGGAATGTAAGATTTTATACTAAATTATTTTACTTTTCTTTTTGGATTTCCATAGAGATACAGGGGATAAATTTCCAAAGAAAACTCTTAGATCTCAGGATTTAATGAAATTGTACTCTGGAATGCAAGAGATAAAGACATTTATTCTAAAAGGGGAAGAAATTAAAACATGGAAGTCATAATAGGAAAGTTTGGTCATAATTTCAGCTTGGTCATCACCATCAATTTAGAAAAGTATCCAATAGTTAAAAAGACTCAAAGGAAAGCATACAAACTAAATAATACCTCAAAACATAATCATTCTCAAATTATAAACAACATAGATCATGCTATCTAGGTTACTATGATGTTTGATTCACGACTACAGAAGGTCAAAGTAATCTCTATCCTCGTTGGTATGGAAGAAAAGCAGCTTAAAATATCAATTATTCACTGCTTTTAATCAGCACAAGTAGAAAAAAGACATTGAGGAGTAATCATAATTAACAAAGTAACCCCTTATAAAATAGATTGTTTCTTGATATCCTGTATCTGAAAAATCTAGTTCTCTGTGGAGCACAAAAAGCAAACCCATGGGCTAGGGTTGTGTCTCAGTGGTAGAGAGCTTGCCTAGTACATGTGAGGCACTGAATTTGATCTTCAACACCATATAAAAATTAATTAATTAATTAATTAAAAAGAATGCCTTTAAAAAAAAAAATCAAACCCGTATTACCAATACTTGGGAAAAATCAAATTGATAGATGATAGAACATTTCTTGAAATAACTATCAGCATAATCATGCCAATATAATTGACTATTATTTAACATTTGAAATTTTAAAATATATTCAAAATTCAACTCATACTAAAATATACTCATTATTTAAAAGTTTCTAGAATCCTACAGTGAGCTTACTAATTCATAAATAAAGAAATTTACATGGCAAGTTTAAACAATGAATTACTAGGGATCAAACCCAGGGCCTTGTACATGGTAGGCAAGCACTCTACCACTAAGCTACATCCCCAGTCCCAATTAAGACTTCTTTAATGGCTTAAATTTAGACATTAAAATGTTTTCATTTCTTTAAATCCTTTCTTTACTCATCTTAACCGATTTTTCTTTTTCTTTTTCTTTTTTTAGGGGCAGGTTGAACATTGAGACAGGGTCTCACTTAAGTTGCCCGAGCTGGCCTCAAATTGTGTGATTCCCTACCTCAGCCGCCCAAGTAGCTGGGATTAATTACAGGCATGTGCCACTAACCTGGCTCCCACCAATTTTAAATTAAAAATGAGAAAGAAATCATAGGTAGAGTAACAGATACTTTTCCCTCTCTTTCTCAGGGATTCTTCCCAAAATTGGAAAGCTGTCTTTTTACTCTGGAAGTCCTTTATGTTCCTGCCTGCCAAGCCCACACCCCATGTAGTGTGATCTCTAAGACAACTTCACTATTAGAAAGGCTATTATTTAATAGCTAAAATAAAAATCACACTTACTAAGGTTTTAGTTTCCATGCTATAACCTCCACCTTGCACATGGTTAGAATAAAAGCACAGTTATAAATCAGACCAAAGACAAGATTCAGTCTTCATGCTGGCTCAGATTCTGACTTCCTCAGGAGATACTGCAAAACGTGATAAGTGGTTCTGTCTGACTGAATAGCTATTCCTGTAAAGGAGACCAAAACTGAATTTCACTTATAGCCTGCTAATTAATCCATAAGTATTTTAAAGGCTTAATTTTAATCAGTTCTATTTAATTATTCTCACTTATTTTAATAAGACTATTACATTTAAATTTTTATTGAACAACAATAAAAATAGCTAATTGATTGGTCAGCCAAATTAAATGAGAATGTTGTTTTTCTATATAATTTAAATGTGTATATACACACAAGCACTAATATTATCATTATTTGTATTACTGAGTGGGAATATGATGTGGTATATCCAAATAAGTAGAGAAAAGCAAAAGAAAAAATTGATTAACTTTGAAATCTTTTTCTCCTTCAGTAGTTTTTGTCTTTGCTTTTGCTTTTTTCCCCCTCATACCCAGGTAATTTAAATTTCTTAAGACTTTTTTAAATTTAGTTTGTACACAAAGACTACTTGAAATCTGACAGCAATCCAAATATGTGTTTAAGAGCAGGGAACGATAATCATAAGCATTCATAAAGTGGACAGTAGAAATTAAATGGCAATTTTCATGTTTATTAGCCAGTTCTTCCTTTAATTTCTCAGGTATGAAATGTAAGTAAATTACTTATTCATGCTACCAGAAATTGTAACAAGCATGAGAAACACCATAAGAACAAATGAACGTATATTAAGGACTACTGCAAGAAAATTCAATATTTCACTTAATATTCACATTCAAAACTCCATACTTGCTTTGATAAATCTTACTATGATATACCTGTAAACTTCACTAAACAGCCTGTGATCTTACATTATCTTAGCCAATCTTCATGGAACTAATGTATAGGTATATATACTTAAATGTCCAAGGCTGACAAAAACAAAAATATTGTCATAAAAAAAAAATCATACAGGGCTGGGGTTGCGGCTCAGTGGTAGAGCACTTGCCTAGCATTTGTGAGGCACTGGTTTCGATCCTCAGCACCACCCAAAAAGAAAATAAAGATCCATTGACAACTAAAAAATATATACATATTAAAATAATCATCATCATCATCATCATATAGAGGTTGGGGGGTGTAGTTCAGTGGTACAACATGTACTTAGCATTTGCAAGGCCCTGGGTTCAATCTGCAACACAAAAATATGATAATCATCAAATATGCCTGGTAAATGATGGACATACAGCTGCCTGATAAGCCTGTTTTGGAAAATCCAGGTAACTAAGCAATACTAAAACCAAGCTCAAGAGTTTTAAGAGGAGTGCATTATACTAAATGATGATGTATATCCATTCTGGAGAATTGAAACTTTGTGGGAATATTGTCTTTTACTAACTGAAAGGTGAAATTCATTGGAGAAGATTTTCTGAGAAAGCCACTGGTACCTGTGGCCATTAGTAAATGAAATGGAAGAAGGATAACATCAACTCAACTATGTAATTTTATATTATTCAGAAGAAATTAACACTGAGTATTCTTTTTCTTCCCAATGTCAAAACATACTAAAAGGTATATAAAACTAGTCTCAAAGCAATCAGTTCTAAGAATTAATGCTGTGCCCTGAAATAAAACTAAATATTGTTTTAACATAAATTAACTTGGGCATAGGAATATAACTAGTCTGTGCCAAATTGTCTGGTACAATAAAATGTTCAACAGGACTTCTTTAAGGAAAACTGGATACAACTGCTACTCTTAAATATTCATTGGTTCAAATACAATACCAGGAAATCCATTTGTGCTTCAAGCTCTACCTATAGAATAATAATGTCTCCAAATATATCAACCATTTTCCAGTATTAAATTCATAACTCCTTTAATTACAAACTTCCCAACTCAAATAATAATAAGAGAATAATATTATGGTCTATATAATTAATGGCTGGGAAGGAGCTAGTAACTACATTCTTATATTATCATGTTTAATTAATTAAATCATACTTACAAAGCACTAACACTGTACAAGAAATTTAGCTACACTGACGTCAATTCCTCAAAATTATAGCTATACCACAAATGCCCCCAAATATGTACTTTAAAAAAATCTATGAAAAAAAACTAGGGAAGTGAAATAATCTTCATCAAGCACAAACCCATTAAACAAACTGAGATAAGCTCAGTTGCCAGTTAGTTTCAAATGATGAGAAATTATCCAAAGAACGAGCTAACAGCCCTCTTAAGGGTTTTTATTAGTTTTATTAACATAAATACTTACTAATATAAATCTGTGGAGGTTTACAAATGCTCAGAAAACCTCTTAGGGAAATACAGATAAATCTAAAGAGGATATTCCAAGCATGCTCAATTTTCAAGTTCTGTGAAAATATTATGAAGTAATTCTGAATTACAAAACTTAGATAAAACAAAAAAAAAATTGAAAGTACTAGTTAACTCTTAAGTTAAAACTCCCACATAGTCATTTCTTCTTTTTTCACCAGTATCTTCCTACTTATCTTTCTGACAATCATCATCAGGAAAAACACCTGGGTTAGAACAGGATCCTAGAGATGATGATATCATTAGCCCACTGACTAGAAATCCGATTACATTTTAGGGGTCCAATAGCTTGTCAAATCTTCCATTAAATTCTTTATCTTCCTCTCAAAACAAACTCCTACCCTAACTTCTCCAGTTTACATTAATAACACCATTCATATCCCTGTTCCCAAGAGAGAAATTCAAAATCACCTTGAATTCTGCCTTTTGCCCATACATGCTTTCTAGTGCACTCGTTCTATCCATTTGGTTATTTCCTTCCCATCCCCACTGCTACCAGACCTTTCTCAGTTCATTCAGGTCAGTACTTCTATAATAGCTTCCTAAGCATCTTAGCTTTCTAAATCCATCCAGCTGACTAGAACAATCCTCTTTTTGAAGCTCTTTTCCAACTGCATAAACTCTCAACTCTTTACCAATACACTCACAGCCCACATACTCACTCCAAATTACACCGCACACATATCCAACTCATAAATGTGTCACCTCCCTTGAAGATAATACACATGAAGGCACTGCCTTCAATACACAAGCACAACAGACAGGCTCGCTTCTAGCAAATCCTACACCACTTTAAGGGTAAGTTAAGCTTCATCTTATACTCCTGACTTAAGGAGCCAAGTGCTCCCAAGGCTCAGTCCTTGGTTCTCAATCTCTCTAAGCACCAACACCCTTGGGGATCTCATTCCACATCTGGGTTATAATATATCACCTATAAGGGGATGACTCTCAAATTTACATTTCCAGGCTGGATCTCTCCCTCAATTCCAGATATATGAATCCAGCTGCCTACCTGACACCTTCATTCAAATATTCTAACAAATACCTCAACATATTCAAAACCCAATTCTTTATCAGAATTTCATGTTTCTCAGCCTGTTTTCCCATCTTCAAATTGAATGGATTAGACCACTAAGAGCCATAAAGTTGATCAATAAATTTTTTCCCTCATTGTCCAAAACTTCATCATTCTACAATAAACTTATACCTTCAAAATGTGAAAACCTATAAGCTGATTAACCAATTCTACTATGTAAAGGGGACAAGGACAAAACTTTTGCAATCACTAAGTGTCTTATAATAGTACTAAATCTTATGTGAAACTGTGTACAAATAATCAATGATCAGTATACTTCAAGAGAGCTGGCCTTCCTATACAAAAGGTCACTATTTTCCATGATATCTGATTCAAATGAGCAGATTTGAATTAAGCATGCTTGTGAATTCTTCCAAGGAATTTGTGGACAAGCAAGACAAAGGAAATTTAACACCTACCTTGGCCTTACTTGAACTATGCTGTACTTAAGGATAGGAATCACCCTTCGACTACTCCATCTACCTCATTCAAAACAATCCTAAATCCTTAAAGTATAATAAAGAATTTAAAGTTTACAATTTAGTCTGTCAAGAATGAATGTATCAAATGGGCTGGGGTTGTGGCTCAGCATGTGTGAGGCACTGGGTTCCATCCTCAGCACCACATAAAAATAAATAAAGATATTGTGTCCAACTATAACCAAAATATATATGTATATATATGTGTATGTATATGTATATGTGTATGTATGTGTATATATATAT